ATGTATGTTTGTGTGTGTATGTGCATGTATGTATGTGTATGTGTGTGCATGTATGTGTGTGTGTGTGTATGGATGTGTGTGCACGTGCGTGTGTGTATGTGGGGGTCGGGGGAGACACCTGTTGACCGTTGGGCCTAGGCAGTGGCACAGCACTGAAGATTCTCCCACTGGGAGACAAGAGGTGTCATTCACCTTCAACCTAAGGGCGGAGGTCATGAAAGGCAGGGCCACGGGGACTCTCTCCTAAGAATGGAAACAAGCATACTCCGAGGACTTTTGGGTACCTGTTTTTTACACTGACTTATGCTGCTTATTTTTCTTTGCAATAATTATGCCTCTGGTGTCACCAGAAGATGAGAAAGGGATGAGAATGTAGCAGCCGGTAGGCAGCTGGGCACGTGTGGAGCCCTGGGTCCCACCGTCAGCACCCAGAAGCAGTGTGACACACACCTGTAATCCTAGTACTTGGGACAGGGTCAGGAGTTTTAGAAGTTCAAGGTCATCCTTGGCTACATACAGAATTTAAGGCCAGCCTGGGCTATGTGAGAATTGTCTTTTCTCAAAATGATAATTTTTCAGGTAAGAAGGATGTGCAGATATGTATGTTTGGATGCTTTGGTGATTGGGCTCAAAGTAGATGAATAAACAAACTCTCCTACCTGGTGCTTTTCGCTCTTTGATCTTCATCCACTGGCTGCTGCTGGCCATTAGAGAGGTGGACATAGGGCTTCATGTGGTGGACAGTCTGAGGGGCCCCACGTGGTGATGCTGGTGCGGAGCTGCCTCTGTCGGAGCTGCTGTAGTCCTGCTCTTCCAGCTAGACAGCCTTGGGCAGCGGAAGCCTGCGTCGGCTCCCCCATTCAGGGTTTCATGTAGCTTAGGCTGGCTTTGACGTCTAAACTGGCCTTCAACTCCTGATCCTCCTGTCTCCACCTTCTGAGTGCTGAGATTACAGGTAAGTGCTGCCATGCCTGGCTTTCCTGTGTGCTCAGTGTAGACATCTTTTTACTTTCCGCTGCTTTGCCATTGCTGTGTGGTTTACAGGCAGGGAGAGACGAGGGCAGTGGGCCCAGCTACCATGTCCTGTGCTGTGCTGCTCACGTGGGCCTGCCCAGTCTCAGAAGAAGCAGCCTCAGAGGCCAGCAGGCTATGTCCTGTTTCCTTAACACTGTCCATCTGTCCCCAGGAGTGTTACTGGATGTCCAGAAGTATTTTCACATCAGTGACAGCCATGCTGGTTTGCTGCAGACAGGTAAGGAATAAGTCCTGGACCCTGGACTCACAGAGGGCCCCTTTGGCTCTGCGGCTGGCTCCAGCTCCTGTCTTTGGCAGGAGAGAGCTGGGTTGGAGTCAGCTGCAGGGTGCACTGGAGGAGACAGGCTGGGGAAGGCCCCTAAGCGTTCCCAGTTCCCGTTCTGCTTGCAGCTCAGCCGAGCAGTCCACAGAGAAACAAGAAACCCCAGTGTGTGCTTTTCTCTCACAGAGCTGAGAAATCCAACTAAAAGTTCACCGAGAGGCAGCCCTTCATTCTCAGGTGGACGCAGAATGGCCACAGAGAACCTCCTAATCCAGCATCAGGGAGCAGCCCCATTCCAAGGGTGGTTTGTGGGATCATGAAACATAGGCTAAGCTTCCATACAAGCGTGGATTAGTGCAAACCTATGTGTATGTGGACAGGGACACACATGGTCATAGCACATGACACCTCATGCACACTGAGGCTCTTCTCTGTAACCTGGCCCCTACAACTGCTCATTGTCACACCGTTTTGTAGTAGGTTCTCAAACTAGGCACAGGGACCCCCTAGGAACACTGAGTCAACACTCCTCAGAGACATACTTCAGCCTGCCCGTCATTTTCCTAACGTGATTGGTCTGGAACAAAGCCCTTTGCCATTGTCTCCCTCCCCTGCTCCACAACCACCTGTCCATTGCCTGAAGTGGAAAGAGGAACTGCGGTCACGTGCTCCTCTTGGTAACTCAGGGTACCAAGCTTGCTATGGCTTCTGCAGGAAGGCCGGGGCACAGAGTGCTTACTCAATAGAAATGTTCCTATGATCTTCCCACCACGCCACTCCCCCCTGGCAAGGAGCCAAGCCTTATCTAGCAGCTCCGTTCATGACTGTCTGCTACTTATCTATGAATTCAACTTCAGAAATGAGATCGTAGTCTCTGAGGTAGTTGTTAACACCCTGCTTTTAGTTTTAAAGGCAAGCACACTGTCTGATTTCATGGGTTAGTTTGGCAAAGCAAGGCTTACTTTCCCACTTGGGTTTCATGGCAGGCCTTTCCCGTAAACTGAACTCCATCTGCCCCTCAGAGCTTCTGATGGAAATACTGTCAACAAAAATAAAGTCATCCCACAGTGTCTTCTGGGGACCAGTTCCAGGACCCCTATCGCTGCTCAGTCTGAAAAAGCTCAAGAATTCCAGGCCAGTGTGACCTACTTAGTGAGTTTCAGGCCAGCCAGTATTTATTACACAGTGTGAGAGATCCTGTCTAAAATAAGAAGGCGGAGTGTCTGGGTGCGGTGGCGCACACCTTTAATCCCAGCACTCAGGAGGCAGAGACAGGTAGATCTCTGTGAGTTTGAGGCTACTTTGGTCTACAGAGTGAGTTTTGGGACAGCTGAGGACTGTGTACAGAGACCTTGCCTTAATAAACAAAACAAAATAACAGCAAAAAAGAAAAAAAGAAAAGCCTAGTGTTCACAGATCCCTACTACACCTCCGTCCCATTCAGGTCATCTGCAGATGGCTCGGGATACCGAACAGAAATCTATGGAAACCATGGTCACAGTGTTTCAGTTAGGGGCTTATAAAAAGGAAAAACGTCTGTGCATGGTCAGTGTGGATGTAATTGCTTTTTGAACTTCAGATACAAGTGTTTTCTTTATTCTTATTAAAGATGTGTTTACTTTTATTCTGCTTGGCTTTTTGAGGCAAGGTTTCATTATGTAGCATGGGCTGGCCTGGACTCCCAGTGTAGAGAGATCTGGCCTCAGACTCCCTGTCGTCCTCCTGCTTCTGCCTCCCAAGTGCTGGGACTAGTGGCATATGCCACTATGCCCAGCTTTATCTATTCTTAAAGGTTTGTTATTATTTCATGTGTATGACGTCCTGCTTGCGTGCGCACGTGCGTGCGTGCGTGCGTGCGTGTGTGCTATGTGTGTGCCTAGTGCCTTCGGGGGTCAGAAGAAGGGATTGGAGTCTCTGGAACTGGAGTCACAGAATGTTGTGAGCTGCCTGATGTGGGTGCTAGGAATCAAACTTGAGTCTTTTGCGACAAGCGCTCTTAACTCTGATCCACAAGATAAGGTCTTGTGTAACTCAGGCTGACCTTGAACTCACTGTATAGCCAAGAGTAATGGTGAATTCTTGATCCATCCTGTTTCTAGTTCTCCAGAGGTGAGACTACAGATGTGTGCTATCATGCTTGGCTAATAAAAACGTTTAAAATGTCAACTGGCAATAAATAGTTCTGAAGGGAATGAAAACCCCACAGATTTATAATAACATCAGTGAACTGGGACTGGTGCACATGCACACACGCCGGGAGGCAGAGGAGGTGGACCTCTATGAGTTCGAGGCCAGCCTGGCTACACAGAGGGCTCCAAGCCAAACAGGGCTGCACAGGGAGACCCTGTCTCAAACAGAAGAAAGGAACTAAAATATCACGGAGAGCACTGGGAGTGGAGCACCAGTGTGTGGAGGCAGGAGGAGGAATTGAGGCCACTGTCAGTTTCAGAGGGAGAAGGGGCTCCCCGGGCCTCAGACCCTGTCTCAAAAAATAAAATGAAATAAAAGCAGCGAGATACCTTTTTTTTTTTTCATTATGCAGACAAAACTAAAATTCTAGCTCATGTAAAGTGGTGACAAGAGTTCCAGTGTGCGCCTATGCAAGTGTAAATTGATAGGGCCCTTTTGGAGCCCTATTTTGGAAGTAGCTATTAAAATCTCAAACAGCATCGACATCGGAGATCACTCTCTGTGGAGTATTAGGTTGAACCATTTTAAGTTGCTGGTTTTGTAGGTCAAAAGCGGCCTCATTTCCACAGTTGCACATTGCTTAACCTAGTGGCGCAGCAGGTGAGGGATTGTAGGAGGGGCCGGGACCTGAGCTGGGCGTCCTCCGTTCACTGGGTGCAAGAAACGTCAGTCAGCGGTAGTTAGTGAACGGCGTCCCAGGTTGGAGTCCTCCAAGGTCTCGGCTCTTCGCTGGTGGATACGGTGAAGGAGAGTGGGGTTCCAGGTCTCCATCTGTCTACCTGGTAGCTCTCCCAACTTGGAGGCCAGGACTTCGCCATCCTCCAAGGGAGAAGGAGATTTTCTTTTAGACACAGAAATCATACTTGAGTTTATCCATGTGCCACACAGCTGGGCAAACCCTTCAAACACAGCCTTTAAAAATGTTGTTATAGGCTGAACAACGGGCCACCAGTTAGGAGCACTGGCTGCTCTTCCCGAGGTCACAGTCAGCTCCCCAGCACAGTCCACGGCCATCTGTAACTTCAGTGCCGGGGCCCCGCGCCCTCTGCTGGCCTCCGCGGGCATTGCAGACAAGACATGCACATCCATACATGCAGGGAAAACGCCCATACACACAAAATAATAAAAGTTTTAAAAACCTAAAAGAAACATTACTGTGTGTGTGTGAGTGCATGCGCACGTGCATAACACACAGTGTGAGTATGGAGTCAGACAGAGTTTGCAGGTGATTTTGTCCTTTCACCATGTGGCTCCTGGGGACTGACCTCGGTGGTCAGGTTTGGTGGCGCCTTTACTCACTGAGGCCTCTCAGCTGGCCCCTTGTTTTTGTGCAAGGCCCTGCTGTCTAACCCAGGTTGCCCTTGAGTTTCTGGTCCTTTCGTCTCGGCCTCCGAGTCCTGGAATTACAAGCGTGCGCTGTGCCTGGCTTGTGGCAGAACAGAAGGCTGGAGATGTAGCTCGATTGGTAAGGTGCTTGTGCAGGGTGCACACAGCCCTGGGTTCTGTCCCCAGCAATGCCTTAAACTGGGGTGTGGAGACATGAGATCAGAAGCTCAAGTTTTCTTTGGTTACATAGCAAGTTCAAGGCCAGCCAAAGCTGAACGAGACCTTGGTTTAGAGACAGGTGCCCAGTGTGTGCGCTGAGCCACACCGGCTCTTGTCCCTGCCTCCTGCATCAGCACTGATTTGTAGTCCATGTGCTTATTTCAGGTTCGTTCTCTGCTGCTCCACAGGGCTGACATCTCTTTCCTCTTGCCAGCATCAGGTGTGTGAGTGACAGATTGGTCCCTGCAGCTCATAGAAGTCATGAACTCTCGCATATCCGGAAGGCTAGCAGCCACTCTGTGCTGGTGGCTCTACATTCCTTTCATGCTGTCTGAAGGAGAGTGTCAGGTTCCCAAGACTGGAGTGATGCTCAGAGGCCACAAAACAGCATGAGGCAGAGCTGAGATTTGGCCCCTGCTCAGTGCCGTACACTCTGGGCCATCCATGGGTTGTATAATGGACCAGGAATATAAGACAACTTTTTATCTCTTCCTTCTTTGCCCTGGGCCCACTGCCAAGGTGCCAGCTTGTGGCATCTGTGTCAGGCTCTTCCCTGGGCCAGCAGGGCTGTCTGCCCAGCCATCCTCTTGGAGGATCCAGGCTGCCCCTGTGTCTCCTCCAGGCTTCATCGGCTGCCTGCTGGTGTCTGCGCCTGTGTTTGGCTATCTGGGTGACCGCCACAGCCGCAAGGCCACGCTGAGTTTCGGGATCCTGCTGTGGTCAGGGGCTGGCCTCTGCAGCTCCTTCATCTCCTCCCAGGTAGGGCCCACATCCCTGCCCAGTCCCTGCTTCCCCATCTGCTTCCCCCCTCATCCGGCTGCCTCAGAGCTCCCTTCTGGCCCAAACCAGCACTGGGATTGTACTGCCAGGGCCAGGAGCTGTGGTCCAGCCTCTAAGCCCGAGTAAGGCAGCTGTTAGACGTGTTTTGTGTTTTTGTTTTAACTTTTTTGAGAAAGGTTCTCACTATATAGCTCTGGCTGTCCTGGAACACACTGGCCTCAAACTCACAAAGATCTGCTTGCTTCTGCCTCTGAGTGCTGGAGTTAAAGGCTGTGCCACTATGCCTGGCTGTTGTTTTTGAGATGGTGTGTACCTCTAGCTGGGTTGGACTCTTCATGTAGAAGAGGCTAGTCTTGAACTCACAGAAATCTGCCTGTCTTTGCCTCCCAAGTGCTGAAATCACCACATCCACCTGGCCCATTAGACATTTCTTTCTTTCTTTCTTTCTTTCTTTCTTTCTTTCTTTCTTTCTTTCTTTCTTCCTTCCTTCCTTCCTTCCTTCCTTCCTTCCTTCCTTTCTCTCCCTCTCTCTCTCTCTCTCTCTCTCTCTCTCTCTCTTTTTCTCTCTTTCTGTCCTCCTCCTTCCTGGTCCTCATCCTCCTCCTCTTTCCTCTTTTTTTTTTTTGAGATAGAGTTTCTCTGTGTAGCCTAGCTTCCCTGGAACTTGCTTTGTAGACTAGGCTGGCCTTGAACTCAGACATCTGCCTGCCTCTGCCTCCCTAGTGCTTCGGATTATGTGTACCATTATGCCCAGCCTGTTAGACTTTCTTAACAGGAGGCTTCCTGGCCCTCCATTTCACTTCCCTCTTAGGTGGGCTCTTTGGGGGTCGGGGGAGGCTGGTATAACAGGCACTGTCTTGAGAAACTGCTCTGGCTAACAGTGACAGCCAGAGGAAGGGTTCTGCTATGTTCTGTGCAGGCAGTGGCAATAAGTGCCAGGAGGGACACACGCGCTTTTGGGAGCCTGAAGCCAGGACGGAGGGATGCTTGCAGCCCTGGTTTCTACCTCCTTCTCTGTGGGCCTTCGTCATGAGATCCCTTTTGGCCCTCTGACACATCCTTTGGGCCCTCGTCCCATGGGGAAATTATGTACCTCACCATGGTCTTATGCCGGTTTGTCCAGTATTCCTGGCTCTTCTTCCTGTCCCGGGGGTTCGTGGGTATCGGTGCAGCAAGCTACTCCACCGTCGCACCCACAGTCCTGGGTGACCTCTTCGTGAAGGACCAGCGGACCTGTGTACTGGCTGTCTTTTATATCTTCATCCCTGTTGGAAGGTTGGTATCACTCCTGGATCCACTTCTCCAAGAGGTAAACTGAGGCTGAAGGAAACAGAATAGGGGCTGTGCTGGACATAGGAGCTCTCAAAGCAGGAGGGCTGGGATCTGAATCTCATCATTACTCCTTCCTTCCCCACCACTGAGTCTGCAGAGCTTGTTTCCTTGGCTGTATAAATCAGGACAAGGCTGTCACTCAGTGGGCTAGGGGGAGGCTAGAGATGACAACTATGCCCCTGAAGGTCAGTGCACTCCCAGAAGCAGTGTGCAGAGACAGTATGGCCCACTGGGGAGGGCAGCTCCGGGAGACTAGTGAGGAAGTGTGCTTTGCAGCCCTACCGAAAGGCCCCTGAGCACTGACCCTCATTTCCTGACCCTGCCTGACTCTGGGCTGGGCTTTGGACACTGGGGGTGGGTTTCATGGTAGGGTATGCAGATCCTTATATGGAGGGAATGGCACAGGGCCTGGCTAGGAGCCAGAGGTCACTAGGGGTCAAACCAGGCGCCTTTCTCAGGGAATGGGCTCTGAGGCTGCAGAGAACTGTCTTCCTGGCAGGAAAGCCAGTTCCCTCTAGTCAGCTGGCCCTGGGCCCTGCCTTCCACCCCTCACTACCATCTCTCTTCCCCACCGTTGCAGTGGCCTGGGCTATGTGTTGGGGTCGGCTGTAGCGGAGCTGACAGGGAACTGGCGTTGGGCCCTCCGAGTGAGTTTCACTTCCTTTTTGTTCCTCCTTTTTACCCCCTGGGGTGGTTGGGACTTTCCATTCGCCTGTGGCCTTAGCCATTTGGCATAGTACCTGGCGCCATGGGGGGTGTTGGCTACTGGCCGATTGGGCCCTCATGGGGAACATGGGCTATGGAAATTGTGATCTTGGGGTCAAATCCCAGCTGCTCAGTTTGCTGGCTGCGTGGCCTTAAGCAAGTTGCCACCCTCTTTGGGACTTCGGCCTGTCTTGCTGTAAAAGTTAAAGCTACCTGTGGACTCCTAAGAGAAGGCATATGTTTGGCTGGCTCCTGATTACGATGCTCTGGATGTTGCCAACAAGATTGGGATCATCTAAACTGAGCCCAGCTGGTTAACTCTAAATATATATACATTTTTTTCCACCATAAAAAAAAAAAAAGAATTATTTGGGCATGGACTAGAAGGTCCCAGGCCAGCCACAGCAGCCCTAAGGACTGCCATCTGGGGTGACTTGAAAAATGCAGTCAGGACAACTGAGAACATCTGGGAGGCTCTGCTGGTCAGTGGCTCTCATTAGAAGGGACATGGACCACTCAGAAGAGGAAGCAAGTGGGTGGCAGAGGCGGCTGGGCCTTGCTCCTACAGGCAGATCTCTGCTGAACTGCCGTGGAAGGCAGAGAAAGAGGCCTGGGCCAGGACAGGGCTTCAAGAAATCCAGCCTGGTTGCCTTGAGCAGGAGCCTTCTCATAGTCTGAGCTGTTTGAAGCTGCCCCAGGGCGTAGGGAGTGAGATCCATGTCCTATGGGCAGGGATGCTAGGAAAAAATGGCAGAGTGGGCCTGGTGTGGCAGAGCCAGGAAGAGGACTTGTGAGAACTCAGTGGTCTGAGCTCCCCTTTTCAACCATCTTGGGCTTCCTGGTCCCAGTAGAGGAGAGTTTGTACTGGGCAGGAGGACATTAGTTAGGTACAAAGGAGACCATTAGGTGCCAGCTCTATGTATAGCCGGCACAGGGGACCAGAGGCTAACCTGGAGGTCAGACCTGTGGCCGGTCATCTCCTGTCCTCTAGGCTCTTTGGCGCTGAGTTCCCTGGCCCTCCTTTCCTAGATCATGCCCTGCTTGGATGTTGTGGCCTTGGTTCTGCTCGTCTTGCTGGTTCCAGACCTACCCCGAGGAGCAGCTGAGGAGCAGGAAGCAGTGGCTGTGGGGGCTCCTAGGAGCAGCTGGTGTGAGGATGTCAGGTACTTGGGAAGAAAGTAAGTGTCCCTGCTCTCTATTGCCAGTCCTAAGAAAACTCTTTCTGGCCCAACAACTCCAACCTCCATCTCTCTGACTCTAGGGTGGCCTCAGTGTTCGAGGCCTTCTTCCTTCCCTGAGTTCTACTCTTACTGAGATGTCCCTCTGTTACTTGGTCCCCTCTGCATATGGCAAGAGTATGGTTGACAGTAGGGCAGGCTGTGTGAGCTCTAGCCTTGCTTGTGCTGTGTTCCCTTATCCAGTGGACATATTTTTCCAGACCCTCCTGCTTCCCCAGGCTGCTGGAGTTTGCTATCCGCCTCTTTAAGCTGCACGGCAGCTCACTGGCCGCTGTCTCAGTCCTGAAGGGAAGCAGGACAGGCGCTCCTCACTTAGCTCCAGGCCTCACGACTCACTGCAGCATGGAACATGAGGGCAGCTCAGAACATTAGGAAAGCTGGATACTGCTTGCCTGGGGCAGTGGCCAGGCCCTTGTAGTCCTGGCCTTATCTTGGCTTCAGCTAAGACACTTTCTCTTGCAGCTGGAGTTTTGTGTTTTCAACTCTCGGGGTGACAGCCATAGCTTTTGTGACTGGAGCTCTGGGCTTCTGGGCACCTAAGTTTCTGTTCGAAGCTCGCGTGGTCCACGGGCTACAGTCTCCCTGCTTCCAGGAGCCGTGTGGCAGCCAGGACAGGTGAGGATGGGCCAGAGGGTACTAGCTGGTTCATAGGCCTTTCTGGGGGGCAGTTCTTGGGAGGACTGCCTTCCAGACAGTCTGTGAAGGTGGCTGAGCTTTGGACCCAGGGGCAGGCCAACGGTCCAGCTCTGACTGAGTCTGCTGTTATATGTGGCCACAGACATCTCCCTTGGCTTTTCTGGGTGCTGGAATCCCTGTCTTCCTACTCCTGTGGATATTGTGGGGGTTCAGAAGGCATCGGAGGGAAATGAATGTGAGGCTTCTGTGGGGCTTCAGGGGATGACAGGAACCTTAGGTGATCACCCTTCGTCTTTCAATGGTACTCAATTGTCACCCCATTTTACAGATTGCAAACTGAGACACTGGGAAGATTCTTCATGTGTCTGGCTTAGGGATGTCGGGATGTGCTCATTCTTCTCTGCTCCGCCAGTGCATCTAGACCCCTAGGAGAGTCATGGGAGGGGTCTCTTAGAGATGTCACTTCACGGCCTGCTTGGCCAGTCCTCTGGCTCTGCTGGGCTCCTCTGCTGTCCCTACCACCTCTTGCCAGGTTCTCCAAAGACTCTAGTGACCTCCTGATGACCTCAAAAATATCTAGGCCTACCTCCCTTGTCTTTCCTCCTCCTTGATACCCCAATTTCTTGCTCCCTCCCCTAGTGGCATGCTTTCTCTCCTGTATGCTTTTTCAAATTTGATCTTGCCCTGCTGGTTTCTTGGACTTTTTTTAAAGTTGTTAAATTAAAATTTATGTATATGAGTATTTTGCCAGCATATACTGTGCACCACATGAATACAGTGCCTGAGGAGGCCAGAAGAGGGCATCAGACCCCCAGAACTGGAGTTACAGATGATTGTAATGGGCCATGTGGGTGCTGAGACCCAAATCGGTTCCTCTGCAAGAGCAGCCGGTGCTCTTCACCATTGTGCATTTCTCCAGGCCCTCCTTGGACTTCAAAAGCCCTCCCTTTCCCTCTGCTTGGTCTCTGCTGATCACACCGACCTCTGTTTCCTCTTCTCCAGCCTTTCTCTGCCTCAGGTTTACTCCCTGATGTCCAGAGGGAACTGGTGTGGTGTCCAGAATGTCTGTGCTTCTGCCCCAGTGCGACTCTGCCCATACTTTCCTTCCCTTTTCTCATCATTATTAATGATGAGAATTATTATTTTGCCATTCTGAGGAGTGAACCCAAGGCCTTGCACATTCTAGGCAGGTGTTCTTTGGGGTGAATTCTAGGCAAATACTCCACTGATGAGCCACATTCCTAGCCTCTTGCTGGCAGATTTTAGTCAAGGGCTTTATCACTGAGCCAAACCTCCAGTGCAAAATGTTTGTGTCAGGCCTTGTGCCAAGAGTTTTCCATAAAGAACCTGCAGAGGAAGGCGTTCCCACTGCCTCTGAGTTACAAATGAGGTGGGGATCACACGGGTAAGTGGCTGTCTAAGGCCACGCAGCTAACAGGCAATAGCCGGATTCACACTTACCTGACGTCGAAGCTGGCTGAAGCCCAGGTCCTGCTGCCATTGAAGACTGTCTGGTGTTGCCAGTCGCTTGCACAGGGTCCCCCCAGCTGTCAGTCTTTCTGGCCGATGGGAGGTGCTCGGAGAAATCTTGTGAACCAGCACACAGAGATGTGAGGTTTGCCTTTGCTCCCCTGTGCAATTGTCTCTCTGGAGGCAAACAGCCCCAAAGAGGCCGTGGTCCACTCAGGAACTGACACTTGTAGGAGCCACTGTCTGCTCAGCATCTGCTCTCAGGCTTGATGCTCCTTCACACCTCTGGTGTGAGAACTGGAGGTTATATTTGTTTCTTGTGCTTAATACAGTAGATGACCACACACTTAATGGTCTAAAACTTCGGACCTATGGGCCTGGGCTGGGGATGTGCCTCAGGCAGTGGAGTGCTTTCCTAGAGTGCATCAAGCCCTGCACTCAATTCCAGGATTGCACAAGCCTGGCACAGCAGGCCACACCGCTAGTGCTAGCACTTGGGAGGAGGAGGCGAGAGGACCCAATTCAGGGGTGGAGCCTGCAAGGTGGCTCAGAGGGTAAAGGCACGTGCCATTAAGACTCACTTGATTTTCAGTCCTACCTGGCAGAAGGAGAGAGCTGGGAACAAGTTGTCCCCCAACCTTCACTTGTGCACTATGGCCATTCTGAGGATTGGAAGTGCTAGGGAGTCCTTGTGTTGGGGTGACTACAACCCCCTTGGTTAGGGTCAGCCCCAGATGCATGCATGAACACACACACACACACATAAGCAAATATGTATATGGCTCAAGGCCACTCTCAGTTACATAGGGATTGTTTGGTTAGCCTGGTAGCCTGAGCCACACAAGGCTCTACCAAAAAAAAAAAAAAAAAAAAAAAAAAAAAAAAAAAAGGCTAAAGCACACGCCCTGGGTTCCAGCCCCAGTGCTTAAATAGGCCCAATTAAAAAACCCAGAGTTTACTGGGAAGTGGTGGTGCACACCTTTAATCCCAGCACTCCGGAGGCAGAGGCAGGAGGAATCTGAGTTTGAGGCCAACCTGGCCTACAGAGTGAGTTCCTGGACAGCCAGGTCTACACAGAGAAACCCTGTCTCAAAAACAAAACATAAAGCCCAGAAATTAGTTTCGTTGTGATTTCAGAGGTGGAACTTCCAGTGGGCCCAAATCGAGGTGTCTGCAGGGTCATACTCCTTGGAGTTCTGTGGAGCCTTTGCCTCTCCTAAGTCCTTGTCGTCGGTAGTATTTCTCGGTCACATCTCTTCATTTCTGCTTTCAAAGTCACATGATTGTCCTTCTGGGCTGCAGATCGCCCAGTGAGCACAGCGGGGAGGACTTTTAGGGCTTACCTGACTGAGGGAGGGTGGCCATCCCAGGAAAGCTCCTTCATATCTGCGAAGGCACCAGAGACTGGAATATCCACACCCCGCCGCCCCCCCCCCCCCGGGGTTTCTCTTGGTGTCCTGGACTTGCTTTGTAGACCTGGCTAGTCTTGAACTCATAGGGATCTGCCTACGTCTGCCTCCTGAGTGCTGGGATTACAGGCGTGCGCCATGCACTGGGCTTAGACTGGAATGTCTTGTGAGGCGACAGTTTTAGCCATGGAGGGATGTAGGAAGTCCTTGTGTTGGGCTTACTACAACCCTTTGTTTAGGATCAGCCCCGGATGCGCGGGAGGGTCCAGGCTTGCTTTCTATCGTTGTAAACACCACGGCCAATAGCAAGTTGGGGAAAGAGAATGTTTATTTCATCTTCCTCTTCCATGTCTCAGTCCATTATTGAGGGAAGTCAGGGCAGGAATGCCGGCAGGAATGAGGAGGCAGGAGCTGGAGCAGAACCAGGGAGGAGTGCTGCTGACTGGCTTACTCGCCAGGACTTATTCAGCTTGCCTTTTTATACAGCTCAGGATCACCCGCTTGGGTGGGCCAGTTCCTTCCCTTGGAAATCCTTGATCAAGAAAGTGCAGAGGCTGGAGAGATGGCTCAGTGTTCACTTCCTGCTCTTGCAGAGAAGCTGGGTTTGGTTTGCAGCGCCTACATGCCAGCTCACAGCTGTGTTTAACTCTAGGGGACCAGCGCCCTCTTCCAGCCTCCACGGTTACCAGTGCACATACACACACTCGGGAGCACACACACACAATAAGTAAGCCAGGAGTGGTGGTGCAAGCCTTTAATCCCAGGGCTTGGGAGGCAGGTCTGTGTGAGTCTAAGGCCAGCCTGGTTTACATAGTGAGTTCCATGACAGCCAGGGCTGCATAATGTGAGACCCTGTCTCAAAATAATAACAATAACAATAACAATAATAATGAAAACAAGAAATAAGCAACAACAAAACAAACAAATATTTTTTTTTTAAAAAAAGAACCTGGCATAGTGGGTATCCCAACACTTGGAAGGTGCAGGCAGGTGGATCTCTGTGAGTCTGAGGCCAGCCTGGTCTACACAGTGGGTTCTAGAACAGTAGTCAGAGCTACATAGTGAGACCCTGTCTTGGAGAAAAGAAAGAGAATGCCCCACAGACTTGCCTGTAGGGTAATCTGATTGAGGTATTCTCTTAGCCGAGGTTGCTGAATGTTGTCCTCTGGCCTCCGGATGTACATAGGACTCTATCTAGTTTGTGTTAAGTTGACCAAAAATTTAGCCAGCACAGGCAGGGAGCTTCCTGTGCAGCCACAGGAAGCTCCAACTCTGAAGCTGACGTGACCCAGAGGAGCTGCACGGCTGCATGGCGGGTAGTGAGAGTCCAGCCTCTGGGAGTGCGCAAGTGGAGTTACAGGGCCTGCTTGGGGCCCTGTGTTGGCAGGCGGGAGCCCGAAGGTCTCAGAGGCTGAGGCATATTTTCTGTGGGCATCAGAGCTGTGTGGGGAATGGGCTCTGGTGCCTTTCTGATTAATCAGCCTGCCTCTTGACAATCTTCAGAACCCACCACCACTGGCTCAGAGATGGGCACCACTTACTCAGATATGACTTCTTGGAGCCAGAGTGTGGCTGGGGAGGCTGCTCAGGGGAACATAGATGTCTCCCTGGTGGGAGAGAGCTGGTGGGCTCTGGCCCCGCCCTGGAAAGGCTGCGCCAGGCAGTCTCAGGCAAGCCCTGGGCTTCTCTGTTTCCACATTCCGTGCTACGTGGTGAGAGCGTCCCCATCGGTTCTCCACTTAGGGATGGACAGCTCCCAGAGGCTGACTGGTGGGGCCTCGCCAATCAGTTTGCTGGTGTCGGTCTTGTATGGCTACATTCTTTTCAAAAATTTTTTTATTATTTTAAATATTGTGACAAGGGCTGGAGAGATGGCTCAGTGGTTAAGAGCACTGGCTGCTGTCCCAGAGGACAGAGTTTGATTCCCAGCACCCACATGGTGGCTCACTACTGTCTTTAACTCTAGTACCAGGGGCTCTGGGGTCCTCTCTGGAATGCATCATCAGGAATGCATGTGGTGCACAGACATATGCAGGCAAAACACCCATACACCTAAAATACAATACCCTGTTACTATTTATGTGTAGTGCATGTGTGTGTTTCCACATGTGTGTGGAGACTAGAGAACAACTTGCTATAGTCATTTTTCTCCTTTCACCATGTGAGCATGGGACCAAACTTAGATTACTAGGCTTGGCAGCAATCTTGCCAGCCCACATGTCACGTACTTTATGTGAGTAGGAGGTCAGAGCTCAGCAGCTGCCCACCTTGGTTTTTAGGCAAGGCTGGCCGGCCAGAAAGCCTCACTGATCTGCCCGTCTCCGCCTTCCCAGTGCTGGAGTATAAAAGCATGGCATCATCTTGTCCGACATGTGTGCTGACGCTGAGGAACAAACTCAGGACTTTGTACTTGAACGACAAAGCACTTAACTGACTGAGCCATCCTCCTCAGCCCCCATGAGGGTAATAGATGGGCGCTGGCTATCTCATATAACTGTAATTTTTGTGTCTGAGAGGGGGCATGGCTCGGGGAGGCAAGTGTGTGTTGGGGCCACAGAGCTCCAGAGAACAGTGCAGAGCAAGGAAGAGAGGCTAGCCAGAAACCATGCGACTGGATCAGAGAATTTTGTCATTTGTGCAAAGGGAGTGAGGGACTGGGAGAGAAGGCTGCTCTGGCCATCAGGGCCGGTCCCGCAGGCTGTATGTGGGCCAGTGGCTTGAGGAGAGAACAGCAGAGAGCCTGGTGTTGGACTTGGCTGTTGAGTCCACTCTGGTCACTGCTCAGTAAGGCTTCGAAACTTCTTTAAAAGGAGCGTGAGTGGAGCAGGAGGATGACAGTGTCTGTGCAGATCCTGGCTCTGAATCGAGGAGCTGTCGGCTCGTCAGCTGGCATCTTCTTGGCCTTGCATCTGTCTGTCTGGGACTCTGGGTGAAAGTCAGAGTTCATTTGCTTAGCACGTGTCACCTGTGTTCTAGGCTCTGCGTTCCCAGCATAGAGAGCAGGAAGGAGACCGGATCTGCTCATAGCTTTCAGGAGTCTGCAGGGAACGGATGGTAGATAGTGCCACAGGGACCAATGAAAATAAAGCAGCCAGCAAGGGGCTGGGGGATGGTGTCCCCAGCGAGGGAATATTTGTGAGAATCATGTGGACTGAATAGGAGTTTGGAAAGTGTAGAATAAAGCAAGCAAGGGAACGAAGCTACAGCAGAATGTTCCAGATGAAGAAATGAAAGGATGTGAAGGGGCAGGGCAGAGGGCAAGAGTGTAGAGCTGGGGCCTGAGGACCAGGGGGCAGGGGCCGGGCCTCTGGGTGTTTGAGAGCTGGTGGAGGAGTTGGGCAGAGTGCGGCTGGAACATCGTCAATCCTGTCTGAAGAAACACTTTCGGAGGCCTGTGCAGAGAGATGGTCTCCAGCAGACAGGTGGGCTGAAGTGGTGCAAGAATGGGTAGGAACGCGGCGCTGCGGGGGCTGCTGGGAAGGTGTGTGGGGCCAGCGTGCAGACCGATATGATTCAAGAGGTGGATGTGCAGGCACGGGAGCACACGCTTTGATCCCAGCATTCAAGAGGCAGAGGCAGGCGGATCTCTGTGAGTTAAAGTCAGCTGGTCTACAGAGTGAGTCCAGGAGAGCCAAGGCATAGCAAGACCCTATCTCAACAAACAAACAAACAAACAAACAGCCCCTAAAACAAACAACAAAACTGGTGAATGTGTCCAGTGCCCGGACAGTTCTGCGCTTGTCTCCTGCTGCATGGCACCCGGCCTTGTAACTGGGTCAGCTGTCCTGGCCCTGGAGGCAGGAGGACGCAATGCGGCCCTGACCTGGTCCCCTCTGCTCTTTCCTGTCAGCCTGATTTTTGGAGCACTGACTGTCGCAACCGGCATTATTGGTGTCATCCTGGGGGCAGAGGCCTCAAGAAGGTACAAGAAGGTGAACCCCAGGGCTGAGCCCCTCATCTGTGCTTCTAGTCTGTTTGCCACCGCTCCTTGCCTCTACCTGGCTCTCATCTTGGCCTCAAGGACCCTCGTGGCTTCTTATGTAAGTGCGGTCCCCCGCTGGGAGTGGGGGGGGCCCTTGCGAACACCGGCGCACACTAAGTTGAGTCTTACTGCACAGGTCCAGACAGATTCTCCAGTGAGTACACTGGGGGCTGCCCAGAAAGGAGGCAGGGCTAGATTTGACCCCAAGTTCTTTTCTGGCTTTGGACTGAGTCCCTCTACACTACTGGCTGGGAGAACGAGTAGAGATGGGGGTGCTTATCTGCCCTAGGGTGCGGTGTAAGCCTGGGGAGGCATTGGAATGCTCCCCCAGTTCCAGATGAGGAAGGTTGGTCATGGCTGGTTCAGACCTTGCTTGGAAAGACAATTATGGCCAACATAAGATTTCCAGATCCAGGCCCCGGGACAGGTGTGCCGCAGCCTTTGCTAGTGTCTGTTCACTAAGGGCACTGTTCCTCTTCATGTGTCTGGACTTCTGTTCTTCCTGCCTTCATATTCACCTCCTCCAAAGTGTTCCCATATTATCCTATCAAGCATCCTGTCATAATTCAATGTCCCATCCTTCTTCCCCATCCCTGTCCTGCCAAATGGGAAGGGCTTGCTGTTCCTGGGAGGATAATACCAGGTTTGCCCCTGGGTGCTGGACACAGTACCCTTGCCCATAGGCATCTGGTCCACTGAGCTGGCTGGACTCAAGAGAGTAAACTGATGATGGTTTTACTCTCCTCCAACCAGTCCAGGTGACTGTCCTGTTGTGGTCAGTCACATTTGAGGACTTAAAATGTCGGGCTCCACTTAAATCACAGCTTCCACTCTGACTCTGAATAAGGCAGAGGTTATCCAGGCCCAGAAAATTGCCCTTGGGGACTCATGGAGTGCTCAATCCTTTGCCATGGACACCACTCCTCATGATTTTGACTCCTGCAGGCCTGAGCAGGTGAAGGATGGCAGAAAATGGACAAGGGTTCCTGGGAATGAGTTTTTTCTGCCATTGCCTTCTGAGGGATAGGAGGTAGGGTTGGGAACAGTTTTATGGTTTTGGAGTGGCTCTGACCTTGCTTAATTCCTCGAGGCAGGTGTGAGCTCTCCAGCAGGACACACCTGGCCTATGGGTAGTGAGTGCTAGGTTGCCCTCATGACCTCCATGATTTCCCTGCATGCTGTCCTTCTAATCCACCTGGTCGCTCTCCTTTTCCCATGGTGCACTCTGCTTCCTTTAGCACTCCGCCCTGAGTTCCCCAAGGGGACTCAGTAGTGATCCCCCTGCCTCTGCCTCCCAGAGCTGGGATGAAAGGCGTGTGCCACCACTGCCTACCAAGAAAGCGTCTCTTTTAAGAAATGCCCTGTGGGCGGTGAGATGGCGTGGTGGATGAAAGCACTTGCTTCCAACCCCGACAACCTGAGTTTGATCTTTGTAACCCTCATATTAACTCTGCATGTGCTGGATGGAAGGCTCAGCAATTACTGGCTATTCTTCCAGAAGACCTGGTTCAGTTCCCAGCCCTCGTATGGTGGGGCACAGCCATCTCAGATTCGGCCTCCTGGCCACCAGCATGCACATGATGTACATACATGCAGATAAAATACTCATACTCATAAAATAAATACATTTTTAAAAGAAAAAAAAAGAACCGAAATACTCCAGGCTTGATATGGAGCCTGCTCCTGGACAACTGGCTGGCAGTTGGCAAAAGATGCTTTTTCTGTTGCCGAAGCCTTCAGGTGTACCTGGAGCTGTCTCCAGGTTTCTATTCCTGTGATGAAGCACCATGACCAAAAGCAACTTGGGAGGAAAAGCTTTATTTCACTTAACACTTCGACGCCACAGTTCATCACGGAAGGAAGTCAGGGCAGAAACTGAAACAGAGGAGGAACCTGGAGGCAGGAGCTGATGCAGAGGCCATAGAGAGGTGCTGCTTCCTGGCTTGTTCTCATGGCTTGCTCAGCCTGTTTTCATACAGAACCCAAGACCTAGCTCAGGTCCCCACCCACAGTGGTCTGGGCCTCCCACAGTGGGCTGGTTCTCCCGCATGGTCACTGACTGAGAAAACACCCTACACTCTTACCCACAGCTGGATCTGATGGAGGCGGCCTCTCGGTTGGGGCTCCCTCCTCTCAGGTGGCTCTAGCTTCTGTCAAGTTGACATAAAACTAGGCAGCACAGGGGGATTTTCTCTGAATTTCCTGGAGACTGGAAGAGGCCTCCCATTCCTCTTATTCAATGACTCTTGACATTGCTGTGGGAAGGTTTTTCTCATTTCATCTGACAGACCAGAAAACTGAGGCCCAGAGAAAGCAACAAACAAACAAATGTTGCCTCAGGCCTGGATATCTCACGTCTGTGTCCTTGTCATTCTGTGGGAGAGAAGCAGCGGGCACATGCTGGGCACCAAGATGTGTTCATGGTTACTGTCTAGGTGGGGTGATGGGGACTGGTGAGGGCTGGTGGGACTCGTGGGGACCAAGCTTGCAGATAGACAGAGGCCTAGGTGGATGGGGGTCCTGTCAGAGGTGTGCTCCTGAGCCAGCCAGCTCTGCTCCAGCACACTGCCTTTTGGCTGTTTTGGGAACACAGATGTCCTGCAGTCTGCAGGCTTCAGAGCTGTGTGTCTCATCTAGAAGTGATATCAGGTCTCAGCTGATCAGTCCAACAGGGAGAACTCTTAACTCTTTTCCAGGCTGCCCTGGTTGAGGGTGGAGGGGCAGGAAGGTGCTTTTGAGTGAGGAGGTGCCAGTCTTCCAGTGCTGGAAGACGCTTGGCTTTTGGGATGCTCTGTGAGCCCTTAGTCTCCACAGCTCTGTCTGTGCTGCTGTTCTGGTGCCTACTGGAAGTTCTGACGTAAGCTACAAGCTGAGGACCTACCCTTACCAACCCTCATTCATGAAGCTTACGACCTGCCCATACTTTCTGCCCTGCCCTATTTCAGCCTTACAAGCTTTCCCCACGACTGTCCTCTGTAGTAGCCACTTCTTGCTGTTTACTTGATGTAATCCAGTCATCCTACATGGTCAGGGAAGCTTCTGGAGCCTTGCCTGCTCTAAAGCCTCGCCAGTTCCCTGGTTCTCCAAAAGAAGCTCCAACTTTTCATCCTCGCGTTTAAAGCTCTGCGAGAGTTGCCTTGACAGCCTCGTCGGCTGCCTCCTCTGCACTCCCACCCTTCCTGATTCCTGGAGCATGTCCAGGGGTTGGTCCCTTTTTCATCCACTCATCATCCTTCCTTGTCCATATATCTAAATCATCCTTGGCTTCCAGGGCAGGGCCAGCTTAGCACTGTCTCTTTTTGGAGGTGTCTTTTATTAGAGGTCTAGTCCTCCACTCTTAGCCTTATTGCATTCTCTCTCTCTCTCTCTCTCTCTCTCTGCCCTGAATCTCCATTTCTAGCATAGGCTGGCCTTGAGTTCAGAGAGCTGTCCGCTTTTTCTAAGATTAAAGGCATGTGCCAGCACACCCAGTTTGATTGAGACACTCTACAGCCCCAGCCTTCAATTCTAGCAGGGCCCTGGCCTGGCTCCTTCTCTTCTCATCTCTCCAGTCCAAAGTGCAGCCTTGGGAATGTAGGAGGAAGGTGGGAATCAGTCACTGCTTGCTGGGTGAGCAGTTGAAGGATAAGTTGTTTATATCCATTTTCCTATTCCAGCCTATTAAGTTTTGGCCATTGGATTACTAGTTCAAACGGTACAGATGCAACCATGAATAAAGCAGCCTCAAGTATCTCTGTCCCAAGGAAATTTACATTCTAGCTTGGAGAAACAGACAGCTACCAGGATATATGAGGAGAAGCAGGGCTTAGTGGGGGAGCCGTGGAATCTCAGCACTCAGGAGGCCGAGACAGGGGAGTTGTAGGCCAGGCAGGGCCGTATGCCAAGACTTCATCTCAAAGCAACCAAATAAACAAACAGATACGTAGGCGAAAACGTTACCCTATTTTATGATGATAAATGCATAGGAAACTGTAGAGTGGAGAAGGAATAGTGAGAGAGTGAGTGTCCATGAGAGGAGACTCCTGTCACACAGAGGCCAGGAGGCTCACTGGGAAAGTGCTGCATCCCTTCTTCTCCTCCTCCTCCTCTTGCAGTTTCTAGGAATGAAGGAGTGAATGGTGTAGGTATTTGGGATAAAAGAATTCTAACAATAGGGAATAGCAACTCTAAAGGGCCTGAGTCAGGGGTGTGCCTAGAGGGTCTGAGGAATGGCAAGGAGACCATTAGCTCATTGGTGTAAAGAGAATGGGAGGTGAGCACAGGGAGAATGATGAGGGCCTTTGGACCTCAGGTGGACAGAGTGGACGGGGTTGTATGCTTAGAGATGGAGATGAGCAGGCGGCTATGCCTTTTCGTCTGCTCCTCTGCTGTTACACTGACAGAGAGTTACAGCTTCACCAACCTTGCGTTCCTGGGGGGCATTTTCCTTTGGTCACAGCATATAATCATTTCCTCTGTTGCTGGAGTGACTTGGTAGGATTTTTGTATCTGTGTGAATAAGAGTTTTAGGGATATGTGTATTTGTATCTGTGTTTTTCTTGTGTGCAGGGCCATGGCTTCAGGTTGGCCTAGCAAGCGTTTCTTCCTTTTTTGTGTGTTTGCAGTTAGGAAGGATCTGTGTTAATTTGTCTTTAAACATTTGGTATAATTTATCAGTGGAGCCATCTGGTTCTGGGATTTTGTTAGGGAGAAGTTTTTTGTTTTTTTTTTTGTGGACTCGATATTTACTTGTTGAAGGTCAGTTCAGATTTTTCTGTTTCTTTTTGACTGAGTTTCACTAGTTTTTCTAATTTTCATTAAATTTTAATAAAATTTAAATTAAATCAGTTTCACTAATTTTTTAAATTATTTTTTATTTTTTGAGATTATAATATCCTGTCCTTCCACTGTGTGTATTCCTAAATACATAAATATATAACCTGCTTAGTCTTTATAATATTACTTGTACACACACACACATACACACACAGGCACACACATGTTTTTAGGGCTGGCCATTTAGTATTGGTGGGAGAGCAGTTGAAGGATAAATTGTATGCATTTATTTATTAAAACCTA